TCCGGAATCACTAAGAAATCCAGGAATTCCTGCTCATTCCTGCATATTCCGGAATTGCAAATATATCATGGATGGCTAAGTAATCATTTATCGAGCTTGAAGAAAGACAAAGCGGAATTTCGGAATTTCTGCACATTCGGGGATTTCTGCATATCCGGAATCACTAGGAAATGCAGGAATTCTTGGTCATTCCTGCATATTCCGGAATTACGAATATCCCATGGATGGCTAAGTGACCATTTCTCGAGCTAGAAGAAATACAAAGCGGAATTCCGGAATTTCTGCACATTCGGGAATTTCTGCATATCCGGAATCACTGGGAAATGCAGGAATTCCTGGTGGTTCCTGCATATTCCGGAATTACAAATATCTCATGCATGGCTAAGTAATCATTTATCAAGCTTGAAGAAACACAAAGCGGCATTCCGGAATTTCTACACATTCGGGAATTTCTGCACATCCGGAATCACTAGGAAATGCAGGAATTCCTGGTCATTCCTGCCTATTCCTGCATTTCCTAGTAATTCCGGATATGCAGAAATTCCCGAATTCCCGTTTACATCTAATGAAGCTGTAATCGAGCTTTAATAGATGCAAACGGGAATTCTGAAATTTCTGCATATCCGGAGTCACTAGGAAATGCAGGAATTCCTGGTCATTCCTGCCTATTCCTGCATTTCCTAGTGATTCCGGATATGTAGAAATTCCCGAATTCCCGTTTACATGTATTGAAGTTCTAATCGAGCTTCAAGACATACATACGGGAATTCGGGAATTTCTGCATATCCGGAATCACTAGAAGATGGAGGAATTCCTGGTCATTTCTGCCTATTCCTGCATTTCCTAGTGATTCCGGATATGCAGAAATTCCCGAATGCGCAGAAATTCCGGAATTCCGCTTTGTCTTTCTTCAAGCTCGATAAATGATTACTTAGCTATCCATGAGATATTTGCAATTCCGGAATATGCAGGAATGACCAGGAATTCCTGGATTTCCTAGTGATTCCGGATGTGCAGAAATTCCCGAATGTGCAGAAATTCCGGAATTCCGCTTTGTATTTCTTCTAGCTCGATAAATGGACACTTAGCCATCCATGGGATATTCGTAATTCCGGAATATGCAGGAATGACCAAGAATTCCTGCATTTCCTAGTGATTCCGGATATGCAGAAATTCCCGAATGTGCAGAAATTCCGGAATTCCGCTTTGTCTTTCTTCAAGCTCGATAAATGATTACTTAGCCATCCATGAGATATTTGCAATTCCGGAATATGCAGGAATGAGCAGGAATTCCTGGATTTTTTAGTGATTCCGGATGTGCAGAAATTCCCAAATGTGCAGAAATTCCGAAATTCCGCATTGTATTTGTTTAAGCTCGATAAATGATTACTTAGCCATCCATGAGATATTTTCAATTCCGGAATATGCAGGAATGAGCAGGAATTCCTGCATTTCCTAGTGATTCGGGATGTGCAGAAATTCCGGAATTCCGCTTTGTATTTGTTGAAGCTCGATAAATGATCACTTAGCCATTTTTTGAGATACTTGTAATTCCGGAATATGCAGGAATGAGCAGGAATTGCATAAAATTCGATGGCATGGGTAGGAATTGGAATGCAGGAATTCCGGAATTGAATGATGATGAGTTTGATGGCCTTATGCGATGCAGGAATGTGTAACTTTGGGGAATAGGATGACTGCTCAAAGATGGGCAGAACTTTTTATCATAGATAATATCAACCATGGACTATCTTTTCATGCTAATAAAAGTATCTTATCATCTCATATTTTTGGTTCGGTGGTGTATGCCATTTTTAGAAAGTGTGATTTCGAGGATAAAGCAATTTTGAAAGATTGAACTTTGGTATGATGTGAATGAAAGTACGGGTATGGATTTGTAACGATTTTCTCGTTATGAAGACCTACACACTTCAACAGCGATGATTATATTCTGTGCAGTCACGAGAGAAGACTTCATATCGCTGTAGTACTTTTTTTTGAATTTCGTTGTAAACTATTTTAGAATGCAATTGTTCTTCGTGCTGAAAGTTCCCGTGCTTAAACTTTCGAATCTTAAAAATCAATCACATGTTTTTAATTAGCCACTGATAAGGCATGTAATCTAGTAATATTCATACCCAAGTCGTTTTGGTAACTTTCTCACACTAGAAGATTCGAAGACTTCTACTGCAACGAGAGGTTTTTAATGTATTTCGTTCATTTCTCAATGTTCATTTTTTACCGATAACTTTCTCATTTATGAATGCAAAAAGAAGGCTTGTTCCATCTATTTTATAGTGATAATGTTTATCTCTCTCATTTTATATGGTATGAAACATATAATATTACATAGTGTTGATAAAATACAGCACTATATGAAAAATTCATCTGACAGAATCATCACAAGTATCGTTTAACTCCATTTATGTCACGAGCGAGGAGACAATGTTCAAAAAAACATCAAAAATCTTACACAAATTCAGTCAGTTTCGGCATAAATCTTCCAATAGGTTTACTGAGTGATTAACTTCACCCAATCCTGGTGTCTTTGAGACACTCCTGCCTACATTGATTCATCAATTAGTTATGACTCAACAAGAAAAAAAGAGTAACATGCCGGCAAAGCCTTCCATGTTTCTCTTATACTTTTTCGAGAATTATGTTTATTAAAAATAAAAATTATAAAACAGTAGCCGCATTCACACACAATATAAGTTATCGTACTCGTCACAATTACTATGATCATTGATATAGATATGATGATACTGGGGGAAACATCGTTGGATGATTCAGAGCTTATTTTTCGTCACGGCATTTATGTTTCATTATGACTCAAAAAAGCAATTGGCAATGATTCAATTCTATTATTGATGCTAAAAGAAAACAAAAAAAAATTGCATAATAATAACTAGTCTTGATGAAATTTTATAAATATAAGTAAGCGATGTAGAAACACTTATTACCTGTAGTATAGACATTCTCTTCATGACGTCACTCCTTGCTTCCTTCTTGTGTCATTACATAAATATTCATTACCGTTGTTAGTTTAAATAGAGTCTCAGATTTGATTTTTTTTTTCTATTAAACCTCAACATTTTCTATCGTCATACTTTAACTAGTAGAAACGATGAAATGGAATAATATTGACTTTACATGGCCTTTTTTTTCTAATGAATTGATTTCATTTCAACATATAAAAAAATATGTGGACATGAAGTTGTTTACAAATGATAAAGCAACTAATCTTTCATCTTTTACACGCGTATTTCACAAATTATATCAAACTATAGGTGCATTCAATGTATGGTTAATTGGACTTAGCATATTATGTTTATCATGTATTGCTTTATTTTCATTGATCGAATCTTGGACAATATTCTTCTATCTTACCTTAGCACCTTACTTGATCATATTGTCTTGGTCACTTCCATTGACTCGTATTGGAAGTTGGAAAGCAATTACATCTATTATTCATCGTTTATGTGGTATTCTTTCTCTTTTATTACCCATGGGATTAATAATATATAATTCATGGACAAATGAACATCCACCAAGATATCTTTATTTTATAGCTGTATTAAGTGTTACATTCAATTGTATTTTTGGTGCTCTTCTTATTCCTCGAAGAATTCCAAGTTTTGATATTCCAACAATACGAGCATTTGGTGTTGGTGTTACACTTGGTTTATCATTTGTTGGATGGTCATTAGTATGGTATTTTGGTGCTGAATCATGGTTTGCACCTTTTGGATATGCATGTGCAATCTATAGTTTTATCACATGTTTTTTTGCTTGGAATGATTCCTTACAACATATTTATACTAATAGGACAAATCCATATTATGCTACACAACTTGATTTAGAATATTTTAAACCACCAAAACGACCTTATCAAGTTGGATTAAAACATCAACCTTATAAATTATGGGAAGTATTTACAATATTTCCATTTAAATCTGTTCATCCTAAATTACAAGAAGTTACAGTAACACCTTCATCAGCAGCTGTAGTTTTTACTGTAACATTAACGGCTATATTTTCATTTACAACATTACTTCAATGGCATTATCTTTATTGTGGACCAAGTGGAATGATACTTCGTCATGAATTATTTCCATCGTATACAAAATATTCAGCATATTTAGCTTTACTTGCTGCTGTTGCAAATAATTTTGGTACATTTGCTGGAACTTTAGTTGTACAACAAAAAGTATCTTCATTTTGGGGAGCTTTTTTTAATGCTATTGGACTTTTAATACCTGTTGTTGGAACATTAACTTTTCAATTACGTGTACCACATGAAAATATTTTGTATTCTATATTGTTAAATAAATGTTCTACTTAAAATTATTTTTTTTTATTTTAACATATAGCTTGCTAGAAAGGTGAAGAAAATTTTTCTTGATTTATATATATGTTAAAAGAAAAACGTTAAAAAGCGATTGTATTCTTCAATTCTATAGCAAAATCCGTGTGAGTATTTATTTTAAACAAACAAAAATAAAAATAGAAAACTCATTAGCATCGTCCTTTCAGTGATGTAAATATGGAATTGACTCTTAATTTTGCGTTTAATATCACAAAAAAGTAGTTTTATGGATGAACAAGTCAATATCTGTATCAAATCTTAATCGGTTAACATATATTTACATTCTTTCACTTGTTTGATAATTTTCTCTCTGAGAAATTTTCTAAAAAACAGGTTGTACTCACTTGAAGAGATATATGTTAAATTTTGTTTTTTAGTAGAGAAGACCAAAGCAAACAAGACAAGCATGACAAGTAATGCATCTCGATTTTCCTTCATCTAGAGTAATATTTTTTAGTAGCAAAAAAAATCACAACTTTTTTGCTAGTAAAAGTAATTTTTTAAGTAAGGAAAGTATGAAGCATGTGCTCATTGTGAAAGAACAAAGCATACACATTTAACATATTTTTTTCATTATGCTTACATCCTAGCGAGTATTTCTAGTCGAGGAATAGTGATTCTCATAAAACTTATGTTATGCACGTGGTGTTTTCGTTGGTTGTTATTAACTTTTATATTTGTGACATTTAATGCAAAATGCACAACTGCGACTTGGCCGATTTTAGACTTGTCAACAATTCAATTATTAGAACTTTTTGAAGATGAACCAAACACGTCTAAACCTACGGAATCATCACTTCATTGTCGTGCTGTGTTTAAAGCTGCTAAGTTCTATCACAGCAATATAATATACAAATTGATGAACAATATATTGGAGGATAAGTAGCCCAAACTAGTGGTTATCCCATTGGTGATATTAGCAGTGCCTATTCAATAATGTCTAATTTCAACATTATTGGTATGGTTGGACCGACATATTCGAGAGAAGCTCATATTATTGCTCAATATGCTGATTCAATTGATATTCCTGCAATACGATATAGTGCAACGGATCCTGAATTATCTGATCGAAATGCATATCCAGCTTTTTAGCGTACAGTTGCTTCGGATGCTACTGCTGCACCATCAATTGTAGAATTATTCAAACGTTTTAATTGGACATCTTGTATAATTATCTATCAAAATGATGCATTTGGATCAGGTGGTGCTGAAGCAATAAGTCATGTATTTAATGAAAATAACTTGATAGCAAGTCAAACAATAGTATTTCACATTGCGACAGTTAATATTTGAGGCGACTTAACAGATCGTGCGTCGAACAGTTCAACACGAATTGTACTACTATGGGTAGAAAGTAACTATATACCATTAGTTTTACAACATGCACTGGATTGTGGTGTTCTCGGACCTCATTTTACATGCATATTACGATTTAATATTTCGTTAGAATTTTTCAATCAAACTTCATATCTAAATTTGATTGGAATGCTTTCTATAGAATCTGTAGCAGGAAATGTTGTCAATGCATCAATCAATACATCATTATTAATTGCAGCTTACCAAGTCGGACAATAATATGAACCTGAAACATTTCATGGGGCAATGAAGGTAGATTATTATGCACTTTTTGCATCTGTTGCAACTTGAACATTTATCCAATCATTGCAGAAACATTGCTTCAGGCATACTAATCGTTCATCGTTGTGCATTTCTGTTGTCAACAGCTCATTCTGTTATGATCGTCATTTTCCTAAGAATAATTCACTTTTCAATACGATTAATACTCAAGAATTTCTTGGTGTATCTGGTCCAGTAAAATTTAGAGTTAACATAACAGATAGAATAGATGGAATTTATTATATTATACAAAATGTTCAGCCGTCTGTACATGGTATAGATTTTGTACCTGTATTACGATGATCTCCTTCTGATTAGTGGAAAATATATGCATTAGCAGATGTTATCGTATGGTCTGGTAATACATTATACACATCCTACTGGTATTGCTGGACTTGCGGATGTCCACTTGCGAATTTGTGTTATTGAATCAGTACCATTTATGATAAGAACACATATCATGGAACAGAATACGAACAAATTAATTGGTTATATACCTGATCTAATTGAAATTTTACAAAATAAGATGGGATTTATTTCTCGTATTACATTAGCATCATCGAATCAAACTTATAATGGATTAATTCAAGCTGGAGAAATTGGTTTTTGTGATTTGATAATTGATGATGTTACGATTACAGTTAGAAGAAGAGTAATAGTTGAATTTTCTAGTACAATATTTGATAATTCTCTACGCATTGTTATTCGACACACAACTTCTAACGATGTGAATCTTTTTTCATATCTAAGACCATTTTCATCTAGTTTATGATTGTTAGTTATAGTTGGTAGCATATATGCTGTTATTTTGCTGTGTCTATTAGAAAAAAATACAAATGAAGCATTGAAAAATAAATCCATAATTTCTTCTGCAGCAATGAGTATGTGGTATTTTGTTAGTACAATGGTGGAATATGGTGCAGATTTTCATGTTCAAACAGCTGCTGGACGATTATTAACAGTTGGTTTGCATATGTTAAGTTTAGTATTAGTAGCAACGTATACAGTAAATTTAGCATCTGATTTAACAACATTAAAATCTGAAGATTTTATTTCAGGAATTGATGATATCAAAAATGGCAAAATATCTTTTAATTGTATTGGTATTATTACTGAATCATCGTTAGACGATTTTTATTTACGTGAAATTTCTCATGGTAGTAGAAATTTTTATCCATTGAAATCACCAAATGAATTATATCTTAGCTTATTAGATAATGATATTGATGTAGCCATTTCGGATACTGATCTTTTAGAATATATGACGAACAAAGTCTATTGTAATTTAACACTTGTTGGGGGAGATTTTAGTCGTAGTGAATATGGTATTGCTATGCCTAAACAATGGATATATAAAAAATATTTAGATGTCATTATATTATCATTAAGAGAATCAGGTGTTCTTGATGATTTAAAGAGAAAATGGTTTGAAGGAAATATTTGTCAACAGTCATTTTCATCTGATACATCTACGAGTATAAACATTATTGCAATGACTGGTTTACTTCTGACTTTTTCAGGCATTAGTATTCTATCATTGGTATTACATGCATAGACAAAACGATGTATTATAAAAGAAGGAATGATTATATTTATTTCTTATAAACATCAAGCCACGAATAGCAATTCTGGATTGCTTTTTGCTTCATCACTTTGTTGACTAGAACCCAGAAAAATGAAAATAAGTTTTATCTAACAAATGAAAATAAAAGCTTGCTTTAATCAAAAGGAAATTGTCGAGACATCTTTAAGATGAAAGTTAGATTCGTGAGCCATTAGATATTATTATCCTATGAAAAAAAACGTGCTGTTGAGATTGTAAACGTGTATAAAGTTTCTTGTTGTCACAGTCTTTCCAAACAGTAAGTATTTTCATAAATTATCTATAAAAATCTTCAAAAAAATATTTTCGGAAATGAAAAGATTACTTCAAGGAGTCACAGAAATCTTTTCTGATCAATGAACATGATTTTTATATAAATCATTTTGGGTGTGGGTCGGGATCTGGGTGTAGACATATCTCAACCCACATCCTTTACTTTAAAAAAAAAAGCAATACAAATATTACTACATCCAAATGAGTAATCGATCTAACTCATCGTTAAACACAGCTTCAAATTCTTGTCCACAAAGAACAGTATTATCTTGTAACCATTGTTTTGCTTTCTTTTGTAAATATTCCGAGAATTCTCCATCGATACCTACACCAACAAGTCTATGTTCTTTGAATTGTGCCAACAAACATACTACCATTGATTCACTTGAACATGGTGATATGACTTGATACTCTTGTTCACATGACTGAGCGGATAAGTTTTGTGTTGTGAAATTTTCAAGAATATCGTTGTTTGAGAGTATAGTTGTGCTCTTTGGTAAATGTGTTAAATCGGCATATAAATAACAAACTCGAAAGAATGTGGAAGCAATAATAGGTATATGCTCTTCATTAAGAGTTACTGATGATCGATCCGTTGCATTATCGTAAATGGCAAGTGAAGTAATCCGTTGACCAAGAAGAAGACATGTTTGTGGATTTCCGATCAGATGCCATAAACACTTAAAAGATAAACCCAAGCGGAAGAGGTTAGGTGCAGCATTAAGAATAACTGAAAAATGGTTTAGACCAGAAGGTATTGATCCATACAAGAAGACTTGAAGCAACCAAGATAATTTAGGAATCTGCAACATTTGACTTCGTTCTTCTAAAGCACGTTAATAGTTTAAGAAAAATAATGTGTAAATCATAAATTGAGAACTGCTCTCAATTTGTGATAAAATATGAAGAGCTGAAAGGCACCGTTTTTTTTTATTCCGTCAAATAGCTTCGCATTGATACAATGCATAGAACTTTCTAGGAAACTTCATATCAATGTTTCGATTGTCTTTTTTCTGCTAGAATATCATATACGTCTTTCAATTACGAAGAGTTTTGTTGATTTCAGCGTTTGTGTCTCGATATGAGTTCTGGATGTTATTGAAAGTCTTCTTTTTATAAACACTTTCGTCTCTACACTTACATCCACGCCCTAAATTTGAAGTAAACTTTCAATGACAGATATTTATTGAGAAACAAAGTGAATAAGGGTGAGAACATACTGGAAAATAGGAAATCCAAAAAAATCTTGAAAGATCGATACAGACTACGTATAGAAGACACAGAAGATAGAAAAGAAAAATTATTGTACTGGAGCATCTTCGAAGAAAGAATGTATGCATTCATGCATGGCATCAGACTGAAAAATATACGTGAAATATATATGTATCACGGTGATCGTTCAATATTGACAGAAGGAAAGAAAGCGAAAATGTATACGCCATACCACCATAAAAAATTCAATCAGTTCTAAATAAACGTACTTAGTTATTATTAGAAATTATTTAGTCGTAATATTTTTTATTTGGTGATTTTGTTTTATAACTATGATTTCGATTTATTAACTTAGCAATCAATTTATCTACTGAGCAAATACAAATTTGACTTGGTAAAAGTCAACTTAACATTTTAATAATTTTACTTAGCAAATAAATTGTTGCTTTTTCTAAATTACCTCGTATTTAAACATTTTCTGACTATTGAAAATCCTTCAAGACTATTTAAATGGAAATTGAAATTGAGTTATTGAAGCCCTTCACTGAAAAATCTACCCATTCAAATGGTAAATAACTCATGTTGTAATTCTTATATTTTCTTCATAGGTTTGACAGCTTTTTTTGTAGTCACTTTTGTACATCATCGATTTATTTTGTTCAATATACATACCTTTAACGACGTTGTCAGTATCTTTAACTATAATATAAATTTCCCTCACTTGGTGACATTGAAATATCGTTTCTAAAGACTTAATTACAGTAAAGTTTTCGTCGATCGTTAGGTTCAGTTGATTCACACTATTATAATAGCCGGTTATATTATTCACTCCACGTGACGAGATTTTATTGATAAACGCCGGAAATGTAATGCGAGTACAACGCCAAGGTAGTGTATGAATAAACAATAATGTGTCATGGTAAAAACATGTAACTGGATGCGATGGTGACCAAGAAGCGATAATCTTACCAACTAAATCAGAAGACATCGTATGAGAAAAATTAATGGCATAGTCAAACTGTTGAACAGTAGAAATAAGTGAAGAAAGTATTGTGTCACCTTCGATAAGACGTCTATCATCCGTAAAAAGAAAAAGTGATAGATGTTGTACTATTGGTAGTTGAACAAATAGTTCAAGTAATTCTTCGAGCATCCATAACTGCTTAGTGGATGTAAGTTGAAAATGAGTAAGATGGAGAAGAGGTGACAATTTTAGTTCATCGAAATATGTCCATGATGAGCCGTGTTTATCAATTATTACATCTAGATATTGAACATTGGGAACGGCATGAAAAAGATATGGTAAATCTGCAGTTGTTTTCAAATTGATACGCAATCGAAGGATATTTAAATAACAATCAATGCTACGGAAATGTAAAGACCTTGATTGATCGTCGATTAGTATTGTTGTGAGTTGATTATTATTTGCTCGAAACAATGATCGAACAGCTGTTGGTTGATCGACTGAGCGAATTGAAAAGAGACCATATAGACGAATCTCAGTCAAATGATTTAAATCATGTAGACTATCAAGAAAAGCCATTAATTGATTGTATTGATAGGAAACAAGACCGATTCTTTCTAGATTAGGAAATATCGTTGGCATTTTCTTCCCAAAATATTTGATGAATAAATCATGTTGTAACACAGAAAAACAACAATCAATGAGTAATGAACGAACTTCACAACCAATTTTCGGCAGAAGATTTACACATAAATAATCACTTTGAGCAAGAGATGTTTTATATAATGCAATATGATGACGATATTGAGTGAACATTCGTGTTACTCGATGGTTAAGTCCGTGGAAAGAGAAAAGAATATCAGAACATAATAAATATTTGCAGATTTCCAATAGAATTTCATCTGGAAGAGTTTCCAATGTTGATTGATTATAAAAAGTTTCCATCTGAAAAACGTTAGCAAGGAATGTTGACAAAAATTCTATGATAAAATTCGAGAAACATTACGTATGATTCATTTTTTCTTGACCTTAAATTGATATTTATTTCTAAACGATATTTACAAAGATGAGACAAATACAAAACTCATGTCACTGTTCTGATAATTGTGATGTGGTTTTATATACACACTTAGATCAATTGTAATTTTTCGAGATGACTAAAATTGTGATATTATTTTCAAAGTATTTGATGAAATATTTGTCAAATTCGTCAAAATAAAACTTCAAAATGAAATTTAAAATAACTCTTTGTTTTTATAAATTTGATTCATTTCAAATTATTATCAAACAATTATATTTGCTTCTATTTTCTTTCAATAAATAACTACACGGCATAGAATTAGAGATAGAAATACCTACAAGAAAAATTGTCATTGAGATAATTGAAAAAGTCAGCGTTACTGCTCGAAAACTCTTCACAGAACACTGAAGACTTATAATGTCTGCAGCTTCTTTAATGCATTTTACATTCAACATCAACACCTAGGGTAGATGTGTACTTGTTTTTTGAGAAATGAATGTGAATGATGTGGGTGTTGATATGTCTATTCTTTTCAACATCTCCACCCATCCACACCCTCTAATGAACTATTTTGCTTGGAAGTAGGTGTTCTCTAACCTCAAAAACAAAGATCGAACAAGTAATTACCGATCTTTTTCATTTGAATTCATTTATATGAATAATTTTAATAGAAATCTTTGCATTTTAGGTAGTAGAGTGTGATTATTAAATTGGAAAATGAACCCCAGCTACTGAAAGTCGCTGTTAAACTTTGACGGCTTATGATTGTTTCAAATAATGGAATACCACAAGATCTACTCAGTATACATGGCATCATAACAAAAACCATGTTTACATGAAATATAAATCATATACCATCAAGAGCATTGCTCTAATGAACAACTAGATTCAAACCTTGATAAATATTGTGCATTTTTAAGAAAACGCTTTCAAATGAATTCTGTACAATCCTTAATAACAGAAATTATTTAGAGTTTCTTAACTATGTATTGATTTTGATTGTGTATGAAATAACATTTTAAAGAGAAAAAATTGCGTTTACTTACATGCATTGTTCTGTCTAGAAGAAATTAAAGTGTGTGTGTTTTCAAAAAAATAAAAAGTTCAACATGTTACCATCATTGAAGAACAAAAACGAAAAAAAATGCTTTTTGATTTTTTCTTTCGTCTCCAAACGCACTTACTTGTTTCATGTTGTACAAATTTATAAAACAAATATAGTGTGAGACACACGCTATTGCTTAAGGTTTCTCAGTCGCTTCAAATAAAGACGAAGAAAAAATAAAAATATGTTGCAGTCACTGTATCACATAGTGACAATACTTCTATTATTATATTTCTTTTTCGTTTTCTATCTGCTGATGTGGATGCGTGGGTTTAATCTGTCCACTGATGCGCAACCATAGCCACGCTCCGCAAAGATCTCCGCTGACGCTCACACCCCACCCTTATGCTGCGCAAGATCATCAGACACTGATTCTCTAAAACAACAAAAACTTTTGATGATTGTTTCAATTAATCTGTCGATCATTGACAAAAGAGATTTATTCATATTCATGGATATTGAGAGTCTGCATAGTTCGTATGATAAGTTGATGTTTGCCCCAAGAAACAACATTGTATGGTTTTGAAGAATAATTCTCGGTTATAGAAAGCATTCCATCATTGAGTATATAAATACATCATGGTTATATCTATCAGCTACTATCCAATATCGATGATTAAATAAAGAACATCTATATCCCCATCCTGGTCCAAGTAAAATCACCCAAATACATTCGAAAGATTTCATTGAACGAATTTCCAAATGACTTTGATTAATTAATCCGTTTCTCGATATTTATTTCAAGATTGTTATCACAATATTTAATATCATTAATCATTTCATTTTCATGAGATATTATTTCTGATTGATATCATCTCTGAAAATGAATAAATGAATTTTGTCCAAATGTTAACAAAAATAAAGGTGATTCAGAACATGTAACACGTTCCCAAGCACTATCAGTATTAAAATATATGTTATATGGATTAAGAACCATTGTTTCTTCGTCAAGAGTAAAAATTTCTTTCGAAGAAATAAAAATAAATCTGTCAAGAGTTTCCCACCAACAAATATCTTTTATTCCTTATTGTTGAAATGATTTTTGGTGAACAATCTTCAAATGTTGATTGAATAAACATAAATTTAGCTAATGTAAACTAATTATCAGATGAAAAGTCGATCGTTCGCTTAAGAGATATTAAATTAGGATAGAAACTATTTTGTGGAGAGAAAGAATATTGATAAGAGAGAGTTTCCATTGAAGAAAAAGCAGAATTATTTGACAAAGATGAACCAGAAAATGTATCAATTTTCTTTGTCAAAGATAAATGAGTACCTTGTGAAAATGAAGGAATTTGAATATCTTTCATTGGAGGTGGAAGAGAAATAATCGATTTATCAATTTCTAATGCATGCAATTGATATTGAATATATTTAAGTTGATCAAGATTTTGTTCAATTAGTGCAATTGTTTGTTTAATCCAATCAAGATTATTTTCAGTTTTATCATGATTATTAATCATTAAAGCTGTTAGATTTCGAAGATAATTGAACTCTTTTTTGGTTCGATTAATATATTTATCAAATATTTCTTTGCAAAACTGATCAATTATTTGATGAGATTTGTAATGCCAGTTTTCAACACTTTTAAGAAAACTTAATTCATTAATTGAAATATTGTTTATTCGATGGTTAAGTTCATTCAAACTCTTTAATATCGATGAATTTTCAACATTGTTTGCAAAATTATTAATAGAATCACTCTGTTCACTATAATTAGAAGGAATAGACATTAACATCACATGTCAATATTATAGATGAATTCATTTCTTGTCTTTAAATAAATTCGTTTTATGCGTCTCAAAACAGATTCTTAAGAAAGAAACAAAAATAATTTTTTTTTTCTTGTGTATATTCAAAAGACTAAAATAGATTTTATTGAATGTAAAATTTGAAAGCAGAGAAATATAAAATAAAATCATTGAATAATACTTGCTTTGTTTGATCAAATCTATTTACAGTTTAAATAAAACTAGTTGATACAATCTCCATTGTAAAACTGCAAGACATCTTTTCATATAACTGATGATTTCGTATTGTCGAAGATTATAGAAAAAACAAAATTTCAACGAAAATTTTATTCAGACGATTTCAAATTGATTAATCTTTTAGTTCATAATCTACCATAAAAAAGCATTAATAAGAATATGACAATAAATATCTAATTCAAAATTTGAAAAGTCGATTTAGAAATAAACTCAAAATGAAGCGAACGATTTTTCACTAAATAAAATTAAGTTTTCATATTCCATATATGAATGTTTGCAAAAAGGGTGTGAATGCAACTATTAATCCTATGTTAAGGAACATCCACACCCCTACTCCACCCCCACCCACATCCCTCATTGTTTGAGACTGATATTAAAATATTTATTCTACAAAGTACAGCTCTCGTCAACAGTGATTCATTCTCTCAGAATACGTTTTTTTTTCGTTTTTGCCATATCTCGGATTAAGCCTTTTCAAGTAAGGAGTACAGAATAAATAACAAACTTGATATAAAATATGACAGCACAGAGAAGAAATAGGATCATATATGTTCGTACACAGAATGTAGATATCGAATTGGTTGATAATAGTCGTAAAATACAAAATACAATTTAATAATTTCTTCACACTTATCTACGTCATCGTCGAGGAGGAATATAGGTATCAGATTTCTTTTTCTGCTGATACTACAAATACTTACGTCAACGTACGTAATCGATGACAAAATATATAATCATTTGTGTTATATTAAATCATTGACAAGCGAAAGATGATAAACATTTTGCAAGACACCATGGCAAAGTCTAGTGCATTTTTCACTTCAGCACTCTCTTCCACATCATCAACTAGTGTTCTCAACAAAGTGACACATCTTCTCGGAGAACAAACATCGAAATCGATACCTGCATTCATTTCTCAATCGTTTCATTCTTTACTTATCATCGAACATTGGACATGGAAAATACTAGGTAGTAATTCTCGACAATGGATCGACGAGCAATCCTATACAAAACTATTTTATGTTCTTGCATCGTTCAACATGAAATTGATTTTCTGTCGGGATGATATTGAACCTGATACAAAAATATCTCTTCTCCTTCCCGAAACCATCGAACACATCAACAATGTGTTCGAACAAATCAATAAAACCGATGATACGACGAATGAGACATATTTTAAGATCATTAATCTTTGGTTCGATGTTCTCTCACATTTAATGCATGAATATAATCAATACGTTTCATCTCATATTGTCAATCATATTAATTATTATATCGGCTGCCATTATCTGATGAGTGATCAGTACAAATTCTATTTGACCCAACTTCGAGAATCGAATCTTCAAGACTCCGTATTTACTAGTAAATTACTCTTCTATATCAGAACATGCTCACTATCGGTAAACACCGGTTTGTATCCAACAGATGAAAAGTTTTCTCACACTATCGATCAGATTCTCGAACATTTCGCCGAAGATTATTCAGAAATAATCTGTGTTCATAGTTATACTGTTACAACATGGAGCAAACAATTACTCACATGTATCACACATCTCATCAGTCTTATCGCTTCAACTTGTTATTGGGATGGTAAGAAAACAAAAAATATCGACGTATTTGTTCCACTGACAGACACATCCTATGAGTTTGTACAAGCACTCATTCGTATTGTCTGTCACAAGCCATTTCATGAACAAATCAAAGCTCAATGGTCTAATGATGAAACAATTCTTTTTGATGCTATTTTGACCTTTCTAATCGGCGTCACGGAAACACAAGATTTAAGTTGTCGCATGCTTCTAAGAACGGCATTAGTAGATGTACTACAGACAGTGGCTCAAGCAACATTGTACGATAGAATTTGTCTTGGCGCTTACGGTATTCTAAGTGTAATTTTGTCGGAAGATGAACTTAAACGTCTAAATATAGCTGAGAACATGGTTGTATTCGTCTTCAACATTATTGAACAAGCATGGCGACATCCAACAAGAACATGCAAGCAAATACCGATTTCTCAACTGCTTCAAGGTTAGTTTCGAACTTGTCTTCTATTCTAAAGTAGACGTTTTTTTTAGGGACACACTGAAGAGGCTAGGTATCCAAGTGCTAAATCGCTTTTGGAACGAAATTATTTTCAAAAGATAGTTCTCTATGAGTGATGACTACTCGCAAAAGGATTTGGACGTTCGAGCCTTTAGGTCTAAGATATGCGCCTTTCAAGGCATTTTCTTCCATCGAAGAGAATTTTCAAGGAAAGATCAATATTCACATTTTGACCTAAAACTTAACACACATATAGATCTGACCGAGATACGTTCGCATCCGCAATATTTCAATTTTCAAATGCTCCTTTTGAAGATATCAATGTGTTAGGAGCTTTCGGATTTTTCAAGAAAACTGTTTATTCTAAAAATTCGATATCTTCAAAATGAAGCACATGACAATAAAAATATTGCGGGTTCGAACATATCTCAGTCAGATCTATAGCTATGACAAGTTTCAGCTAGAAACTCGAATCTCGATTTTTCCTTGAAAAGTCTCACCGATAGGAGAATATGCCTTGAAAGACCCATATCTCAGACTCAAAGATTCGAACGTCCAAATCATTTTGCGAATAGTCATCACTCATAGAGAACTAAATTTTGAAAATAATCTCGTTCCAGAAGCAATTTAGTACTTGGATACCTTTCCTTGTGAGTCTATATCGAGTTTTGTGCACAGCCTACATCAGTGTTCCTGAATTCCGTGGATATATCAAAATAACTAGATGTTTCTTATGTATATATTTGACATAAGAGAGTTATTTGAGTGAAAACATCGAATTACTATAGCTTTCTTGTAACATAACTGAAAAATCAATGTTTTCACGTTCATTAGGTTGCGTAAATTTCTCAAAGAATGACATCATTCAACGTCAAACAGCCAAAGCAAACAAAATACCCTTTTTGGTTGAAATGTGTGATGAATATCCAATTGTGTTCGATATTCTGTGGGGTCTTTCCTTCAATCCGCTCATTCAAGAGCAACTTCATTTGAACCAATCGTTTATGACCAAATTAGCTCAACTCGACAAGAACTGTACCGACGAAAACATGCGTAGAATTATCAGTGGAATCCTCTGGAATTTAGATTCGAAACAAGATCAAAAAGTACCATTTTCGGATAAAATCGATGAAAGATCATTTGATATCATGATAAGTTATTCACATAAGGAAAGAGTTATTTGTAGACAATTATATGAAGAACTTATTCGACGTGGCTATCGCGTCTGGATCGATTTTGACCACATGCATGGCAATGTTATGGATGCAATGGCAAGGGCCATCGAGGGATCGCACACAATAGTGATTTGTATGAGTGAACAGTACACACATAGTAATTATTGTCGAGCCGAAGCACAGTATGCATTCAAACGTCAGCTCAAGATTGTACCAGTTCTCTTGCAAGAATTTTATAAGCCTGATGGTTGGCTTGCATTTCTTATTGGTGAATTACTCTATATCGACTTTACGAAATACAATTTTCTACAAGCCTTTGAAATGTTACTTAATGAGCTCAATGCTCCGGCTTATCATGAAAATACTCCTGGCACACGTTTTCCATCCCCCACGCCAGGCACTCAGGCGAAGAATGCCGTTTCACTATCAATACCAAAGCATCTTTCTACAAATATGAGAGACTGGACGCAAGCACAAGTGCACAATTGGCTTACAAAACATAATCTTGCACAAATGTCTGAGCTTCTTTTTGATTATGATGGACGAAGTTTAATGTACTTGATGAAGTTTGTCAAGAATAATGAACCGAAACGGATTTTGTCATTAATGGAAAAGGATTCGCTGCGGCGAACAAAGCAAACTTTGTCACTAGTTGAGTTTGCTCGTCTCTGCAGCCTCATGGAACAATAGTGGCTACTTGAACTCACAACTGTTACATCAATGCACCTTGTTAATAGAAGTATAGTTTGTTGATAAAATTTATGGTCATTCTATCTTATTCCATGTATAAATCTGCTACGAATTGCAATGGAAACTATCTTGATTAACCTTTGAACTTTCTCTTTTGAACGATGGACAGTTTTTTTTCTTTTAACTGAGAAATCAAACACTCGTCAGCTAAATGAGCTCAATAAACAAGAATGCCTTTCTAGTAGAAAATTGTGCACAATAATTACATGTCATTTGCACAAAACGACAGCACTTGCCAATGCTCTTGTGTAGAGAACCGATATTGTTATTAGTTGTAGAACGACTGCAATGATTCGCAAAGAAACATATTTTAGTTGGAGTTCAAATGTCGTTTCATAGAAATTTTTACAGTACTCTTCAATTTGATCATGCATCACACAGATGCAAATGTGGCTATTGGACATGTCTAGATGATTTTGACAAGAAGACTGTTGGTAGATATCAAGCGCCTCTTTATACAACTCGAATGCTTTAGAGTCTTGAGGATGGGGATCACTGATTTTATCA